ATATATGAGAAGTGGTCACACCTGTTATATCGCTCTCCATCCCTACCAAACCAAAAATAAAAACACAACAAAAACTAAAGCAACCAAATGTATTAATAACAAAGCAAACTAAAAGTCAGATTAAAACACACACAAAAAAAGAAGACCCAAAAATTTAAAAAAAAAATAATGCGAGGAGAAGAAAAGGTAGCAGTGAGAGGAAAAAACAACGAAACTAACAACACAAAAACCTTACTTGTGGTAAGAAAGAAAAGTATGTCAAGCAAGAGCCATGAGCGAGTGAATTCAAATGGGCGAGTTCAACATAAAGAAAATGAAATGAGTGCTGGAGATTACAGATATAATATTTAAAAAAAACTCCAACCAAAAATCAACTCCACACTGAAAGCAATTACTCCTTCTTGTTATTTTATTTCTTAAAAAAAAGGCAGATGAAAAAAAACCCCCCGAGCAATTTTCCATCTTATAATGAACAAACAGTTTGACTTTTGCAGCGGCGCACAGTCAGTGTGTTGAGTTGGAGTGTAAGATATAATAAATAAAATACAGGAGAACAACAAAACCCAAAGCAATCCTTTCACTAAATTAAAAAAAAGGAACCAAACCAACAACAACAATGGTAATATCCAACAATATTGTCAGGGGCACGCAGATTTCTAGGTTTACAGTGGAGTCCGCTTAAATCAAACACGATTAATTAATCTGAAAACAGTCGTAGTAAATCGAAATAAAATAAAATTCCAGATTTTCTTCTATTTGAGAAAAATCTCTTAACGCCAAAACCGCAGCTAAACGGAAGAAAATCCGACAGACGGTCCTTCAGGTTTCGGTTAAAGTAAGCAGACTCCACCGTAATTCAATCCAGGTAACAGATTGATGAACAACCTGGCTGGACTTTCACTGCAAAAAAAATCTTCCGAGATATCTCCATCCAGAAAACCACTCACATTCAAACCGGCATGCCCCGTAGAGAAATTTATTAACTCACAGGTAGAAAGGAGACAGCGAGCTATGTTAACGACATTTCGACATATTAAACGAGAGCGCGGGAAGTGGGGGGTGGGGG